GCCTGTGACAGAAGGAATGCAGCCCACCTCCTTTGTTTTTCTGCAGCCTCCATGGTAGACCCACGAAGTAGAACAGGCATAGGGAGCAAAACGAGCAGCAGTTAAAACAATTACAGAAAGTGCGAAAGGAACCTCACAGGTTACAAGAGGCTGTAGAGAAGCTAGAAACAGTTAGAAAAGAAAAAGTAGAAGAGTTCAAGGGGTGTGCAGCAGATGCAAAAAAGGGAGAACATTTTATGAGCGAAATTGGAGGGCAAGTTTTGGAAACGGCACAGATAGATGTAAAGGAAGGATCGGTCTATCACAACAGGGCTTATATACACTGACAATGGTATGCCAGTGACAACAGACAAAGAGAAAGGGGACATATTTTTGAAGAGATTTATAGCCCAAACTTATCATAATGATAGGGAGCTTAGACATTCATTCAGTTAATGATAATCTGTCTAATGCTATAAATTATAATTAACTTCAGGATATCATTAGGGTGGAGGATATAAAATATGTATTGCAAAAGGCAAAAGACACTGCGCCGGGGCCAGACGGAGTGAGGTATGCCCCCACATGAAGAGCATGGGTGATGAAGAGTTGAGGGAGATGGTGTTTCACTTCAACCAGAGCATTAGAACAGAATCAGTACCCCAAGAATGGGTACACAGTTACCTGATCCCCCCCCCCCCCCCCCCCTTTTCCAAAACTAGACAAAGATCATTCCAGACTCAGCAGTTTCATGATTATAACCCTACAGAATACTTTTGGCAAGGTGCTAGAGAAGATTATTGTGCTAGAGAAGATTATTGTGCTAGAGAAGATTATTGCTGATAAACTGCAAATGATTTTGGAAAAGGAAGAGCTAGTGCCAAAATGTTTGGGTACTTACCGGCCACGGAAAGATACATGGTCTAATGCAGCTAATTTTGCTTTTGATGTTTATGAAGGGTTCCAGAACAGACAGAAGACAGTTGTGGCAGCACTTGATCTTGAAGATGCCTACAATAGAGTCAAATAAGATATTTTGATATCTGCTATCATGGAGAAGGGTGTTTGGTTGCCCTTCCCCTGGGTACATGGACCTCAGAACCATGTAATATCGCCCCAGGATTACCCCAGTGTTCTGCAATTTCACCGGTGCTCTTTAATGTGTATACAGGCAGGATTGCAGGACTTGAAGCACCAGGTGTTGGAAGGGTATTGGCATTAGCTGAGGATGTTCGTGCATATAGGTAAGGGAGTGACAGACAACGGATAGCCAAAGAGCTGCATGCAACTGTAGACAAAGTGACTGACTGGTGTGCAGAAATGGGTGCTGTCATCAACTCAGAAGAGGCGGCTGTTTTGTGGTGCTCTCTGGACAATAGAATTGTAAGAGCTAATGTTCCAAGCCTCACAATTATTAGCAGTAAAATCAAAAAAGAAAGCAAACTGAGGTACCTGGGTATAACTTTTCATAGAAGCCTGTCCTACAGGGAACACGTGGAGGCAGTTGTGGTGAAATGCCAAAAAGGACTCAGTGCTCTCAAGATTATGGCAGCAATGGACATTGCAGAGTGCTTCTCTGCACGGAGCATGCCTGTCTCCACGTCTCTCAACTTATACTTGAGTAAATAGTTATGCTTGGGGAAATAGTTATACTTGGGGAAATCATTATACTTGGGGAAATAGTTATACTTGGGACAATACTTATACTTGGGGCAATATTTATACTTGGGGAAATAGTTATACTTGGGGCAATACTTATACTTAGGGAAATAGTTATACTTGGGGAAATAGTTATACTTGGGGCAATACTTATACTTGGGGCAATACTTATACTTGGGGCAATACTTATACTTGAGTAAATAGTTATGCTTGGGTAAATAGTTATACTTGGGGAAATCATTATACTTTGGGAAATAGTTATACTTGAGGAAATAGTTATACTTGGGTAATTAGTTATACTTAGGGAAATAGTAATATTTGGGGAAATACTTATTCTTTGGGAAATAGTTATACCTGAGATTATACTTATACTTGGAAAAATAGTTATACTTGAGGAAATACTTATACTTGAGGAAATATTTATACTTGAGGAAATAGTTATACTTGAGGAAATACTTATACTTGGAGAAATATTTATACCTGGGGAAATACTTATACTTGGGGAAATAGTTATACTTGGGGCAATACTTACACTTGGGGCAATACTTATACTTGGGGAAATAGTTATACTTGGGGAAATACTTATACTTGGGGAAATACTTATACTTGGGGAAATACTTATACTTGAGGAAATACTTATACTTGGGGAAATACTTAAACTTGCGGAAATAGTTATACTTGGGGAAATACTTATGCTTGGGGAAAATAGTTATACTTGGGGGAATAGTTTTACTTGAGAAAATAGATATACTTAGGGAAATACTTATACTTGAGAAAATAGTTATACTTGGGGGAAATAGTTATACTTATGGAAATAGTTATACTTGAGGAAATAGTTATGCTTAGGGAAATACTTATACTT